AAAGAATCAGATAATAAAGAAAGGATTAAGCTTCCAATTTTTTGAGTGCAACTTTGGAAAACCACCACTAAAAGCATGCCTCTGATTATACAGGGCTTTGTGTATATATTGGTAATGAACTATTAATTTATTTTGTATATTCTATTTTCTCAGGACCAGTCTCTCCATTACAGGACATAACTCAAATCATTATGCTTTTCTAAAAACGCCAAGTGCTACTTGGTGCTTATGTGGACATGCAATGAATAATAACTACCAATGAATTCACACGGATCACTTTATCGATTCAACCATTTGTTGGATCCAATTATTTCAAAAGACCCTGCTGTGCCATTGTCAGTGATATTTGAAAGATTGTGAAGAAGAGCCAAGCACCAGACGAGAGAAATGCAAATATCATACCAATTTTCAAAAAAATAGAAAAGAATTTACAAATCATAGACAAGTGAGTTTGACTTTGGCTCCTTGGGAAAAATTTTCTATGCATTATTAAAGAGGTTGATGAATATTTAGATGCCAATCTAAACTTATTTCTCAATTTAAAAGTGTCACTAACCAGGTAGTTGAGGGGAGAGCTACAGATATAATATACCTAGTTTTTAGCAAAAAACATTTAAGAAAAGATCTCGTTACTCTCATGAAAAAGATGGAGAAATGTAGGCTGGGTGATAATACATTTAGATGCATTCAGGACCAGCAGAGTAGTCATTAATTGTTTAATGACAGTTTGGCAGAAGTTTCCAGTGGGGACTCTCCCCCCCCAATTTGTGCTTGTCTCTGTGCTATTTAACATTTTTATCAGTGATTTAGAAGAAGTCATAAGATGACTTGGTTCTAAGATCTGACAATCACATCCAGCTGGCAGGCCTAGCTAACACACTGAAAGACAGTCAGTACCTAAAAAGATCTTGCCAGGTTAGAGCTGGGGTCAGCAAACTCTGGTCCACCTGTTTTTGTATGGCCTGTAAGCTATGGCTTCTAAAAATGCTGACTCCTAGGGTTAGAGTATTGGGATGTAATCTAGAAAGATGTAATTCAATATGGTTCAAAATTCAGCCTCACTAGTACAAGATGGGAAAGGGATAGTTAGCAGTTCACTGAAAAAGATCTGGGGATCTGATGGGAGAGAAAGCTCAATACAGGGAGTCAATTGAGTGATATGGGAGTGAAGAAAGCTAATCTTCATGGAGAGATGTGGCTTCCAGGAATAATGAGGTGATAGTCCCACCGTCCTCTGTCTTAGTCATACCAAACTGGAGTACTATGTTCAGTTTTGGGTACCACATTTTAGGGAGCACATCAGTAAGCTGGAGAGCATCCAGGGGGGTGTCTTGAGCTCCTGCCATATGAGGATCAGCTGAAAAAAAGGAAGGTTGAACAACAAAAGATTTAAGCGGAGCATGAGAGATATCTTCAAGTACTTGCAGGAGCCATCAAGTGAAAGAAGGATTGTAATTGTACTGTTTGTCCACAGAGATCACAACCAGAAGAAATGGGCAGAAGTGGCAAAGAGATAAATTTAGGTTTACTACAAAGGAAAAGATAAATTGCCAAACACACCATGTCAGCTGGACTCTTCCAAAGTGATTCCATTTGGGATTGTCTAAGAAGGTTGTGAATGGGCTCCCTTTCGCTGGAGATCTGCAAATGAAGGCCTTTTGGCCACTTGTTGGTTGTAGAAGGGAACATTGTTCAGTTCTGGTTTTGACCTAGTGGCCTCTGAGGCTTCTCCTGAATCTGTCTTTGTGGGGAATGTGACCAGTCACAAAAGAAATCCCTGACAGACATCGAGCATGATGGTTGAGGGCTGCTCTGGAGAGACTGATAAAAATACAATGCAAAATGCCCACTGATAACAATGACTTCTTGTGAAAGTAGCTCTGGAGAGGTTCCAAATGCAACATGAACCTTTAGAGAGCTGTTATTAAGAAGAATAACATAAAAAACTACTCATTAAGTACATCAAATGCAGATCTACTCTATGCTTTAGGAGATGATGTGTAAATAATTCACTTCAGTACTTACTTACAAGAGAAATGATTTTAAAACACACACACACACACACACACACACACTTTAGAAGACAACAGCCAAAAAAAAAGAATCCATCTTAATGAAACAATTTCATGCTTTAACTGAAATTCTTTTATAAAGCTAATATATTAATCAGTCAACAAACCCTTATTAAGTGCCTACTATGTGCAAGGCACTGTGCTGAGTCCCGGAGACTCAAAGAAAAGGAAAACACAGTCCCTGCTCTCAAGAACATCACAATCAAATGGGGAGACATCACACAAGCAATTATGTACGTAGAAAATACACACAGAATAAATAGGAGGCAATTTCAGGGGGAGGGCAGTAGAGGTAGGGAGGAAGGAGGAACAGGAAAGGCCTCTTGTAGAAGGTGGGATTTTAGCTGACGTTTGAACTGAATCCAGAAGGTAGAAGTGAAGGGACAGGGGAGCATTTGCAGAGGACAGCCATTGAGAAGGTAAAGATTTGGGAGACTGTCCTGTGTGAGGGGCAGGAAGGCCATTGTTGATGGATTGCAGAGTACTTGGAAAGGAGCAAAGTATAAAAAAAGATTGAAAAGGGAGGGGAGGGTCCAACTTGTGAAAGATTTTAAAAAGTAAATGGGATTTTTCTATTTGATACTGAAGGATAAGAAGTCATTGGAGTTTATTGTGTATTTCTGTGTGTGTGTGTGTGTGTGTGTGTGTGTGTGTGTGTGTGTGTGTGAGACAGAGGAGGAGGACGAGAGAAAGAGAGGGAGGGAGAGAGAGAGAGAGTTAGTCAGTCAGATCCTTCTCCCAGATGAGTGGAAGATGGACTGGGGATTAGAGTGAGGAGAGACCTAAAGCAGGGAGATCAATTAGGGAGCTGATACAAGTCTAGGTATGAGGCAATGAGGGCCAGCAACAAGGGTGGTGTTTGTGTGAGTAGAGAGAAGGTGACATATAGGTGAAAGTGGAAGTGACAATACTAGGAAACAACTTAAAATGCGGGATGTGTGTAAGAGAGGCGTTAAGGGGTACACTGAGCCTGGGTCAGTGGGAGGACAGTGGTACCCTTCATGGTAATTTTTATGAGATAAAGATAATTAGTCCTGTTTTGTTAATGTTGAGTTTTAGGTGTGCAACAAGCGATGGAAGCATGGAAGTCAGGAGAGAGAGGATAGAAAAATCTGAGAATCACCTGCATAGAGACTATAACTGAATGCATGGGAGCAGATGAGATCATCTAATGAGAGTGTAGAGAAAGGAGAGAAGAGAGCTCATGACAGACCACTGGGGAACACCTGTTGTTACTAACCCATTGTCAGTAAGCATGACCTGGATGAAAATCCAGCAAAGGAGACCGAGAGTGAGGGGTCATACAGGTAAGAGAAGAACCAGGTACCATACACTAAAATTCAGACTTGATAATGTAGACACATTAAAAAGCACCAACATGTGCTTATTTAAAGTGGTTATCCTTTAGCTACTTCTTAACATATATTAGGCCAACCAAATTTTGGCATACATAAAAGACCTATTTCAACTATCTTAACTGTAACATTTCATCTGGGAAAAAAAATGCACTTGGGGAAATGACATATAGACTTGTTTTCTCTCTATTTCACTGAGAAAGTTATTCTTTCTGCTGCATGATAAGACTTCTGATATGGGGAACATGTGACCTACTCCACTTTACTGACAGCTGCATTTAAGTGGTTTATAAAAGATTTCCTAGAAAAGTAATCTGGCATGAAGAGAGTCATATTCATCTAAGAAGCTGGTAACTTTCATCCAATGGTTATCTATACAATGCAGTGGAGAAAGGAACCAAGTCTTTAGCTAATTCAAGCTTCTTCCTCTCCAAAAATAAAATCTTACCTGGATACTTTGGACTAAAATAAAATAGCCTGCTCAGATACTCAATTTCAAGTTGTGTGTTTATGGAGCCCAGAGATGTAAACTCTTTAGGAGCTATCCACAAAATGTTGAGGCCATTGGTTCAGTGTGAACTAATCTTACTAAAACTACCCAGGACTTTTTTTGGGGGGGGAGGGGGTTGAATGGAGGATGGTCTTTCTAACATCAAAGAGAAACTGCAATTTTCAGATGGAATTTATGCTTATTAACTCCCACTCTGTCCAAGGGCTGAATTACAAATTGCCTATGTGGATCACAAGATTGTGTCAGTTTGTCTTCACTCAGCAGCTCTGGGGAGGAAACATACTTTAATCCAGAAGAAAGTTAATAAAAATGACCAAAGGAACATTTTAAGTTACTCTGAACTTAGTGGCTTCTGCTCTCTTAATTTTTTATTTATTTATTTATGGTAACTCACAAAGCATGCCTATGCCAATTAACAATGGCATCCAAAATGTGTTTACCTATGCAGAGTGAAGTGGATAAATGAATTCACCAATACCCTAATTCAGGCCCTAAATCCCACCCTTGACCCAAATGTGTGGATAATTGCTTTAGTTCTGGGTGGATATGTGTCTAGTTACAATGCCAGTCTGAAATGGGAACAGACCATTTCTATGTGAGCGTGGCTTTACTGAGTGGATGGAGATGTGCCACAGCTTTCCCTCTGTCATGACTCATGCCTCATGCCTCATTAAAACAATCCTAAGAAACTTGGAAGGACTGAATATTTTGGTCTCATGTCAATTTTCACAAGATTCAATTTGCTTATACAAATCCCAGTATTCAGATGACAGTAGCCAAGATGAGTTTGAAATCCCAGTCTTCAAGTTTAAACCTCCTTCCCTTCCCCTTCTGTTCACAAGGAGGCCAGTCTGGGGCTTTCCCAGTAGATGGTGGCAGTTACAGCATTGAGTTATCTCTTTTGCCCTTATCATGACACCCTCCTCGAAGGAATAATTCTAAAGAAATGAACAAAGGGAAGCTTGGTCCACGGAGTCTTTTTTTTTCCTAATAATGACATAGGACGGGTCTGCCCATATTAAGCAAGGAAGAGAAAAAAAAATCAAAACATGTACTGCTTACCTGGTTCCTGTCCCTGGCATTTGCATATCGGAACCTCTGAATATAATAAAAGACCAGCCACGCGAGTGATATGATCATCAACACAATGAAGGAGATGGATACAAACACGACCGATGTGCGACTGACATATTTCTGCAAGTTGCGGGTCCCAATGGTGATGTACATCATCACAGTAATGTTTTTATCCAGCAGTGTCACGATCTCCTTTCCTTTCGACTCTGGAATCATTATTGCAACAATGTCTTGCACACCTGTTGTGAGGATGGTGGGGTACAAGGGAAGGGGGTGGGGTAGGAGAGAAAAAGAAAGCATAGTGAGAAAGCTAGAACTGAGCACTGCTCACCAAACCACTTGACATCTTTGGACAGGGCTATGAATGCTGAGAAGGAGGAATAATGGGAAAAAAAGAGTTCTCTTGTTGCTCAGCTACATTGCTATATAGTACACAAGGCAGGTCATGTAGTTCAATTTGATTCTGGACAATAAATATTGATCAAGACCTTACTGAGTGTAAGGCACTATGTTAGGCTCTAAGGGGAATAAAAAGGTGAGGAGGAATAGCTTTTCATTTTGTCTTTGTATTCAAGAATTACAAATGTAGAGCCCGAAGGGACCTTGCAAGTCATCTAAGCCAGCCCCTTCATTTTACAGATAAGAATGAGGCTAAGAGAGGTGGTTGGATAACTGAATTAACCATGAATCCTGTCCTAAATCCTATCCTTGCTCCAAAGGCATGGTTAATTTCAAGGTCACAAAAATAGACAGTAGCAGAGCTCATTTGGTACCAGCCCCAATGATTCCAAAACTCAATGTGCTACCTATTATACACCCTTGCCTTCCCCTGAATACCTAGGACAGTGCCTTGCACATTAATAGGTAGTTTACAAATGCTCATGGAATGGACTACAGAGATACAGTCCCTGACTTCGGGAGTTTACAAAATAGTGGAGATCAGGGAGGGATAGGATAAGAGAAGTAAACAACTTAATAAAAGCAGACATTTACACAGTGTTTTAAGATTTACAAAGCTCTTTAATGCATGAGTTCATTTGAATTCCACAAATTATTATTACTCCTGTTGTACAGAATAGAAAGGGGTGGCTCCAAGGTGCAATGGATATTGCTCTGGGTTTGGAATCAGAAAAACTCATCTTCATGAGTTCTAATCCAGCTGCAGACACTTCCCAGCTGTGTGACCCTGGGCAAGTCACTTAACCCTTTTTGCCTTATCTATAAAATGAGATGAAGAAGGAAATGGCAAACCACTTCAGTATCTCTGCCAAGAAAATCCCAAATGAAGTCACGAAGAGTCAGACATGACTGAAATGTGTCAACAATAATACAGAAGAGGAAACTGAGGTTCAGAGAGGGGAGGCAATTTGCCTGTGGTCATAGAATTATATAGTATTGAAGCCTGAAATTAAATCAAACCTCCCATGAATTGAAGTCTTGAGTGTTTTCCATTTTACCATAATGGTTGGGGGTAAGGGGTGAGGACCAGGGAAGGTTTCAGAACTGAAATTATATTTGAGTAAGGTTGAAATTATATTTGTGTGAGTATGGTATGGATAGGAATTTTACATGTAGACCCTGGGGGAGAAAGGTAAGAAGGGAAGAAAGGGATCCAGGTTCTGAGAGAAGTCTGAACAATAGCACAGAGGGGGAAGGTGCAAGATGTGAATAACTGGGTAGCAAAGAGGATAGAGTACTAGATTTGAAGTTAGGAAAACTAATTCCCTTTTGGTACTCAATAGCGTACAGCCAGAGACAAATCACTTACGTTCTATAAATCTATTTTCACAACTATGAAAAAGGAGTAATAGTACCTTCCTCTCAGGCTCAAATGAGATGTTTTTGCAAAATGTTTTGCAAATCTTGAAGCATGTGCTACATACAGGAATTCTGTATTATATTTTTGCATTAAATAATACAAATTATAAAACTGTGATTATAATTAAAATGATTATACAAATTACATATGATTAGGGGACAGCAAGTCATCTAGTGTTGCTTGAGTTTGAAGTGTATAGGGAAGCAGTGAGAGATAAGACTGGAGACATTTCTGTCCAAAGCCTTTATTTGGAATACAGTAAAACCATCACTGGTTTTGAGATGGGTAGTGACAACTATCAGGGTGGTAGCTATAATTCCCAACAACGGCATCAAGTGGTAGGGTTTAAATGATTCTTTTCAATGGGGCCCAGGCTGCTGTCTTACCAGTTAAGGGACAGCGTGGAAAGAGCTAGGAGAAGGTAGCCCTTTTCACACTAGCACTTCAGTATACTGTCATGGACAAAGCACTGGATTTGGTACAAAGAGACTTGGGTTCCAATCTTAGCTCCAACAGTTGCTGGCTGTATAACTCACCTTACCTCTCTGAGGCTCAGTTTCATCATCTGTAAAATGGGAATAATGGTAATGCATACTAATGACCTCAAAAAGGTCCTGGTGAAAAAAGTGCTTGGTAAACTCGACAACACTAAAATAATGTGGGCTGTTAGTATTCAATGATGGACCACTATGGAGAGAGTACTTTAGATATGTAACTGAAATGTAAGCACTATCCTGCTGGGTTCCACTTGCCTGGGTATATACTCTGGTCAAACTCTGAATATTCAATGGAACAAAATTGTTTATCATTTTCAAGAAGGCAATTTTCTCCTATAGCAAGTACTCAAACAACCAAAAATGAATTCTTCAAAAGCTATGGGGTAACTTGCCAACAGATAATATGGTCATGTACTTTTTTTCTAGCTTCTTTTCCTAAGTTCAAAGGAATCAGCTATTTTTTTTTTAGCATTTCTGTAAATGAAAAGATTCTCTAAGCTGTGTTTCTTCAAGTGAAGTGAAGTGAAATGATTATTAGGTGAATAATCCTGAAAATTTAAGCAACCATTATCCTCTCCTCCCCAGGGAATCTCACAAATAACAAAACCACAACAAATCTTTTGTCATCATTATTTGCTTATTATCTAAGAGTCAGTTTTGAGTAGTAGATGGAGAACAGCCTCTAGTAACTAAAATCTGTGTTGAAGACTTGCTTCTGAATCATACTGGCTATGTCACCCTGGACAAGTCCCTTATTATCTCAGCATCCCAGACAACTTTCCAAGGCTCTAAGTTGCTAAGAAGTAGCACAAAGGGTCTCCAGGTGTGGTCTGAAAACTCCTGGGAGTCCCTGAGACCTTTTTAGGGGGTCTGAGAATTTAAAATCATTTTATAATATTGATGCTTGAATTTCTAATACAGTAAAACCATATACAACCCCCATAAATGAATACTCTTTGGGGGGGGAAATTTTTAGGAGTATAAAGAGGTTTGAGAACCACTGAGAGTACTACTTCTATAACAGTTGAGGGAATTCCACGTACCAATAAAATCACAGGCCTAAAGCAAAAAATAAAAAAAAAATTAAAAATCTGCCTAACTGAAGACAAACAGGTTTTATAGGACTGAACCTTCCTGACAATTGCCTTTTTTCTTCCCTTTTGTCTCTGCAGATTTACTCTCGCTTGGGGTTGCATCAGAATTAGCATGCTCACTCAAAGGGGTTATGACAGGTCAGGGCTGAATATTTCAATAGTGATAGAATATCAGAGAGGTTGCAATATGGGGGCAGTGATATATTAGAGAACCAGCCTGGTGTCTGTGGCTAGCCCATGGGACCGCAAATCAGGAAACCTAAATTCAAATCTCCCCCACTCTCTTGTTAACTATCTAAATATTTTTGTTGTTGTTCTCAGTGATGTCCAACTCTTCATGACCCCATTTGAGGTTTTCTTGGCAAAGATACTGCAGTGGTTTGCCATTTTCTTCTCATAAATATAGGAAAATCATTTAATGTCTCAGACCTCTATTTTCCTCACCTATAAAATGGGAATACTAATACTTGCACCATCCTCCTATCAAGGTTGTGAGGAAGCTACTTTGTAAGCCTTTAAAGTGGTGTGTGAATATGAATTCATATTAGCTATTTGCATATTTCTTGCTCTGTATGTTCTCCCCACTTGGGAATTCAAAGCACTTTTGCACCTTTTCTATTTCACTCATCATGTGATATTATATCACCAAGGAGAAATGATACAGGGATTAAATAAATACATACATACAAATTTTAACAGCAGGAAACGACTAATTATAATAGCAGAGAATGACTTTTTTAAAAAACTTTTTTAAACCTAGAAGAGATTGTCACCATTTTAAAAGGATATTGTTTTTGTTGTTTTGTATTTTGTTGTTGTGTCTGATAGGTTAGAAAGATATTGAAATTTCGCCTTTTTCTGTATATGATATGTCCCAAAAGTCTTAGCGCACTTTTAAGCTACTAAAATTTAAAATAGCACGTAAGGTTTTTGAGACATTCTATGTATCTATCTGTGCTGAAATCTTATTTCCCTATAAGACTGTAAACTCCTTAAGGGCGGGGATTGTGCTTTTTTTTAAACTTTGTATCTCCTCTTTCCAGAGTGCATAGATTGTTTTATTTCAATTTTTATCCCTTCCAATAACTAACATAGCGCTTTGCATATAGTAGGTGCTTAATAAATGTTCATTAAATGAATGGCCATCAATTGAACCAAGACAGTCTGAACATAAAAGGTTCATTGGGCCCTAGAACTTCTCCTTTTGACTTTAGTGTCCCTGTGTGCTTGCCCTCTTTCATATGGGACCATAAGGAAGAAGAACAGTATTGTTTCTATTTGTATCCTCAGTGCTTTGTACACAGTAAGTGCTTAATAAATGTTTTATACATTCATTTTTGTAGATGTATAGTTGGAAGGGACCTCTGAGGTCACCTAGTCCAAAGCCCTCATTTTATAAATCAGACAACTCAGGCCCAGAGAACAGAAGTGATTTACATAAAACTTGGCACACAATAGGTCTTTAATAAATGCTTGTTGACTGGCTGATTGGTTGATTGTCCAAGCAGAGACAGGACTGGCAACCAGGTGTTTTAATCCCAGATTTATTATTCATTAATCTTTTTAATTAATTAATTAATAATTAATTTATTATTAATTTTTTCCATTGCATTACACTCCTCCTGAAATCTACTGTCAGGTCACCGTATCTTTACTGTTAGAGGTGGCTGCAAAGAATATATTGCTAGACAAGAAAACATGTTACCAAACAATTAGTGTTGCTTCACCTGACTTGACCTTTTCCACACTTTGATGTCAGGAAGGAAATAACTGCTCAGGCATCTCACAGCCCAGGGAGGGTAGGGATCTTAGCAACTACTTAGCGATTT